CACCAATCAGGATCAGATATATATTTGCTGATGAACTTTAATGCTGTGGTATGTCCCCTCCCACTTCGGCAACCATGGGAAATCTTAGAAAAGTGAGGTTTGGGCACAACTTCCAAAACAATTCTGATGGCTTCTTGGACAACCTTTAGGTTTAGATTAGGAAGGACAAGAACTTCTTTCCTTGGACCTCTTGGTGAGATAGAACGTGTATTAGCACTCACATTAAACTTCCCACTAGAGAGCTCCTCTGCCACGTGGTTAAATGAGATATTGGCATTATCGACCAGTATATCAAGGGTTGAGTTAAGCCTAATACAATTATAAGCATCCTGAAGTGTTGCTTGACTGGCAACCACTTTCTCCATTAGGTCATGGAACTTCCCATTCACATATTGTGCCTTCACTCGCTTCTTTATCCGAAGTTCAAGATATCTCTTTAGCTCCATGCGACTCTTGGGTTTTCTTTCATCAGGATGAGAAGACTCCTCAACAAGGCAGGCCAAGCTCTTTGCCAGTGTCTCTTTTCCAGTGGCCTTATCCATGTCCTCATCAGTGGCCGGGAGAGAGGAATAACACATGCAGGATTGATGTCTTGGTATATATCTTCCTCCCACAATGGGTACATATCCTATTTTAGTAATATCACCTACACTTCAAGACACAATGGTAAATATCCTATTCAGTCATATAACCTACACTTCAAGATTTTCTAATCATTGCAAATATTGAACCTAAAGTATATTTCAACTAATTCTTCTGCATAGATCCCATCAGATTGTTGGGTCACATTTTACGACCACTCAATGGTACATCCAGAAGGCTAGTTTAAGAAAAAGTGTGAAATTAATGAATCTGTCCCATTTACATTTCAGAAAATGTCAAGTCTGTTATTACAAAAGGTGTAGTCCTTCAAAGAGTAAGCAGAGTGATTGGAGTACGCATAAATGTTGAGGTTATTCAGATTTGGCTTTTTTTTGGAGGGGGTACGCTGATTCTGAGAGAAAGATAATGTACAGTAAGTTCTTTTGTCTCCTAAGTTCTTGGCTTGTAAGTAAAAATTAGCTTACAAAATTTCCTTATATCACCTTTTTTTTTTGGATAATAAGCTCTAAATATTCTGCTAATTAACCACGGGTCTGCAACTTCTTAATTTATAGAATTCGTTTTGAGAGCTTATATGCTTACCAAGTAGATAAATAACATAATGTAGAAAATGCTGCAATGTTCCATTCTGATATATAGAGTGGAATAATCCTAGTGAGTGAAGTACCATTCTTCTAGAAGGTCAGGTGGCATGGTAACAATAGAAATCTGTTATCACCTCTTCCTCACATTCTTGAAAAGATGCCTAGTTTTCTTCTATAAATGGCACTCTTTGGGACCTGAAATTAATAAGAGAAAAAATGGAGAATTTTCTTCACAAAATCTCCATTCACAAAACTTTTCATGGTATCAGAGCTCTGATCCAAGAGCTTCCTTTAGCTGGGCCAGAATTCAAATGGCCACAAACGAGCTCAATTCCTCTCCTCCCAAAGTGTCTTCGAGTTCCTACCTCCCAGCAACTCTGAATCACAGCCTAATTGAGCAGGCATCATCGTTCATCACGGGGCACAAACTGAACGGACAGAACTACCTTCAATGGTCAACCTCCGTCTTACTATTTATTCTCGGCAAGGGCCGCAATGATTACCTCACAGGTGAAACTATCCCTCCCGCAACTAGCAACCCAAGTTTCCGTGTCTGAAAAATAGAGAATAGCATGGTAATGTCGTGCCTTATTAACTAAATGGTGCCCGACATTGGTGTGAACTTCATGCTATATGAAACAACGAAGGAAATCTGGGAAGTGGCTCGCTAATCGTACTCCAGCAAAGATAACATCTCCACCATCTTCGAGGTGGAGTTGACTCTCCATGAACTGCATCAAGGTGAGCTTTCTGTTATCCAATACTTTAATTCACTAACCCGAAGCTGGCAACAACTGGATACCTTCGAGGAGCATCAATGGAGTTGTCCAAATGATAATCGGACGTTCAGACTCTTTACCGAGCAGAAAAGAATCTTCAAATTCTTGATGGAGCACAACAAAAGTCTGGATGAGGTTTGTGGACGGGTGCTGGGAATGAAACCACTACCCAACATTCGAGAAGTGTTCGCGGAAATTCAGAAAAAAGAGAGCAGGAGGCGGGTGAGGATGGGAGAAGCGCAGCCTACCTACTCTGCCGAAAGTGCATCTGCACTCACCATGCGGTCTGAATCCCGCGAAAAGAAGGGAAAACCGTATTGTGATCACTGCAGGAGACTCAGCTACGTTCGTGAGAAATGCTGGAAGTTACACGGGAAACCCAGCGAGAACAAGGTAGAAAGAACAGAGAGCAATGGAAATCGTCAAGAAAATATTGTTGTTTCCACTGTTGAAGAAAATGTTGTAGAAAGCAATCCCTTCAATGCTGCACAAATAGAGGTCCTTCAACAATTATTCAAGCAGAATTGTTTACCTACTCAGCTCATGCGTGCTTCGGTGGCACAAAAAGGTAAAGCAACAATTGGTTTGATAGCATATTCTTCAAAACAGAACACATGGGTGGTTGATTCTAGAGCATCAAACAATATGACAGGTAATGTATCCCTATTTCAGAATTACAAAACATCATATAAGAATTTCATAATTAAAATTGCAGACGGGTCAATCTCCAGAGTGGCTGGAACTGGTTCTATTGTTTTAACACCACAGTTGACCCTTCATTCAGTACTTTATGTACCAAAACTGGACTGCAATTTACTATCGGCTAGCAAACTTATGTTGATCAAAACTCTATTGCTAAATTTAGTTCAAAAATATGTGAATTTCAGGACTTGGATCGGGGAGGATGATTGACAATGCTAGGATGCAATCAGGCTTGTATCTCCTTCTAACAGACCCTTCTGGAAGATAAACTTAAACGGCAGTATGTACAAACTCTGTTCCTGAGAGTCAATTAAATAATGATCATGATATCATATTATAGTATTATCGCTTAAGTCATCCAAACTTTTTATATCTACAAAAGATGTTTCCCTTATTGTTCAGAAATAAAGTTTTACTTTTGTTTCAATGTGAAGTATGTCAAATATCTAAATATAGTCGAAATTCTTTTGCAAGTTTACCATACAAGCCTTCCAAACCGTTTGCATTAATTCACAGTGATGTTTGGAGACCTTCCAGGGTTATCAACATATCTACAAATAAGTGCTTTGTATCATTTATTGATTATTACACTAGAATTACTTGGATCTTCCTAATGACAGAAAAACCGGAAGTAGGAGCCATTTTCAAAAGATTCAATACTATGATTCAAATCCAGTTTCATACCACTACACAGGTACTTAAAACTGATAATGCCTGTGAATATTTTGAAATCACTCTTGAGAAATACTTTGAGGAACATGGCATTATTCACCAAAGTTCTTGTGTATATACCCCCCAGCAAAATGGCATAACCGAACGAAAAAACAGATATATTCTTGAAGTCGCCAGATCTATTATGTTCACTACCCATATTCCTAAGTTTCTTTGGGGAGAGGCAATACTCACTGCGACTTATCTGATAAACCGAATGTCTTTCCGTATTTTGAATTTTCAAACACCTATGATCTTCTCTCTCAGAACTTTCCTGATTCACATATCTTACACTCACTGCCACTTAAAGTTTTCGAGTATTCTGCTTTCGTTCATATCCACTCACATCTTCGGGGGAAACTTGACCCAAAAGTCTTTAAGTATATCTTTGTTGGATACTCGTCGAATAAAAAATGATACAAATGTTTTTTTCCGGATACACGACGATTCTATAATATAATGGATGTTACTTTTTTTTTAGAATCAGTCTTTTTATCCCACTATTGATATTCAGGGAGAGCATTCTACTCAAGAATATCAAGTGTGGGATGTTAGCATTCATTCCATCTACCCACAAAATTAACCTCCCCTAGAGTCTGATCCTAAACCTGAACCTGTAGCAAAAACTGAGTGTACACTACCTACAGTAAATGAGCTACGTGTCTATACCAGAAGGAACAAAGTTCATGGAGAACAAGTACCGAAACTAACCAGGACTTGCCATGAATCCGTACCCACTCCAACGGTTAAGGAATCAACAGGTAATAAAGTACTTGTTACTGACTCTACTACTGATATTGACTTACCTATTGTTGTAAGAAAAGGTATCAGATTATACACAAAATATCCCATACAAGATTATGTATCATTCGGCAATCTATCTTTGAAACATCATGCATTTGTTAGCAAACTTGACAGCAGTCTTCCAGAACCAAAAATAGTGTATGAAGCTCTTAAAATACCAGAGTGGAGTACAGCTATTCAAGAAGAGATTAGTGCTCTTGAAAAAAATGAGACATGGGAATTGTCTGAGCTACCTCCAAGAAAACGACCAGTTAGATGTAAATGGATATTCACGACCAAGTATAACCCAGATGGGAGTGTAAATCGACTCAAAGCACGCCTTCTGGCTAAGGGTTTTACTCAATCCTATGGTACAAACTATCAGAAGGCCTTTACTCCAGTCGCTAAGCACAACACAATATGGGTACTATTCTCTCTTGTAGCAAATCTTGATTGGCCCCTTTATCAACTGGATATAAAAAATGTATTTCTGAATGGTGATCTATAAGAAAAAGTGTACATGAATATCCCACCAGGTTTGAAAATAAACGATCAGTCTCACAAGATTTGCAGACTCAAAAAATCACTATATGGACTCAAACAATATCCAAGAGCTTGGTTTGACAGATTCACTAGAGCTGTAAAACATATTGGGTATGAGCAATGTCAATCAAATCACACTTTATTTGTCAAACATTGTATCTCAAGTAAAAGATCAATTTTGATTGTGTATGTAGATGATATTATCCTCACAGGAGATCATATTGAGAAAATTCGAAAACTTAAAGAGTTTCTAATCAAAGAATTCGAAATTAAAGATCTTGGAATGCTCAAGTACTTCCTAGGTATGGAAATTGCTCGGTCTAAGAAAAGAATTTTCGTATCACAACGGAAGTATGTCCTGAATCTCCTGAAGGAAACAGGTATGCTTGATTGTAAACCTGCAAATACATCTATGGATCCAACAACGAAACTGGGATCTACAAAATGTGAGAAAAGTGTTGACAAAGAGATGTATCATAAACTGGTCGGGAAACTAATATACCTAGCACACACAAGACCAGACATCAGCTTTGCAGTCAGTACAGTAAATCAATTCATGAATCAACCGTCAGAAATACATATGAAGGCCGTGTACAGAATTTTGAGGCACCTAAAAAGAACACTGGATCAAGAACTAATTTTCCAAAAGAAAATAAACATGGATATTGAAGTCTTTACTGATGCTGATTGGGCAGGATCGATAACTGACAGGAGATCCACTTCTAGCTACTGCAAATATGTGTGGGAAAATCTGGTCACACAGCGCAGCAAAAAGCAATCTGTAATATCCCGTAACAGTGCAAAATCTGAATTTCGAGCAATTACACATGGAATTTGTAAAGAGATATGGTTGAGAAGAATACTACTAGAATTAAAGACATCTATTGATACTTATATGAAAGTGTGGTGTGACAATCAATCAACAATCAGCATGGTCAAAAACCTAGTACACCATGACAGAACCAAACATGTAGAGATAGATCGACATTTCATCAAAGAAAAGATTGAAGATAGAACTATAACTCTTATACACATCCCTTCAAATCAACAAATCCTAACAAAGACACTAACAAAACAGATATTTGATAATATTGTATCAAATCTAAGTCTACTCGATATATATGTAAACTAGATTGAGGGGAAGTGTAGAAAATGCTGTAATTCTCCATTCTGTTATACAGAGTTGAATAATTCTAGTAGGTGAAGTATCATTCTTCTAGAAGGTGAGGTGGCATGGTAACAACAGAAATCTGTTATCACCTCTTCCTTACATTCCTGAAAAGATACCTACCTTTCTTCTATAAATGGCACCCTTTGGTGCCTGAAATTAATAAGAGAAAAAAGGGAGAATTTTCTTCACAAAATCTCCATTCACAAAACTCTTCACATAAGTAAATCCAAACTCTCTCAATAGCATAGAGTGCCTTAAATTAGCACATGCAGCACCATTTCAGAAAACTTCACTTCATTTTTCCCTTTTTTTTAACTCACTAGCCTGTTTACCACATAATAATCAGGGTAGAGCACCTTTTGCTTTTAGTGGATAATGAGATTTTGTTTCCCACGGAGTGCTGTGGACCAGTAGCTACTCCCTTTCAGAAAATAAAACAGTTTGCAATATTTACAAATTTCAGAGTTGATAATTGTCAAGGGAATAATTGGTTTTAGTTTAGTTAGATTAATTGCACTTAATTCTCCTGATTCATTTTTTGTAAACTCATGCCTATAGACAGAGGCACACTAGTAATATAAAATATGTAATTGAACCTCATAATTGACATGACATCACAATCAAATGAAAAACTTTGAAACCAACTCTCCTCCTCTCAAGATACCCACGCAACCCCTCCTTCCATCTCTACACCATCTCCCTCTATTTCTCACCATTCATTTGCTATCAAATTGACAACAATAAATTATCTACTTTGAAAAACTCAATTCCTTCCAATTCTAAATTACCAAAATTTGTCTGGTTTTGCTGATAAATCTCTGCCACCTCTGTCATGATGGATCATTGACTATTAATTCAGAATATACAACTTCGTTTGGAAAAGACCAAACGCTAATAGCATGGCTTTTATCATTTCTTACAGAAGAGATCTTTCCTGATGTCATTGACCTAGAAACATCAATGCAAGTTTGGGATGCCTTACACAAGGCCTTCGGCTCCATCTCTCAAACTCACCTGCACTTCATATAATCCTTCAGGAGTTATAACAGAAAGACAAAACTCTCCCAATACCTCAAATAAGCGAAACTCATTGTTGATGAACTAGTGGCTATAGGTAAACTCTTAGCTACTGCTGAATTTAATGTGGTTATATTTTGCAATTTGGGTCCTGATTATCATGCTCCTATTACTGCCCTCAGCATGTGGTCAGAATCCGTTCCCTTTCATTAATTACATGGGCATTGTCTTACTCATGAAGTTCTCCTTAAAATCCATAACCGAACCTATTACTGCAAATGTTGCTGTAAAATCATGTAATGTCAATAATCCCTCTTCCAAATTGCAATCTAATAATTTTTCTACTTCTACTAATTATAATAACCACAAGAAGAGAGATCTATGTCAAATATGTAATCTCAATAACCACAATGCTGATAGATGTCGTAAACAGTACCAGGAATCGCAAAATTATATTCAACAACATCAAAATCCTCAAGCACATCTTATGTACATTGGTGGTCCAAGTACACAGCAGACTACATCTTCTGGTGACTCCAATGCTACTTGGTATCCAGACATTGGAGCATCATATCATGTGACTCCTAATCTCTCAAGTCTAAGTCTCGCATCATCTATATTGGTGGTCAAATAGATTTTCTCAACTTTGAGATTATGTTTGTCTATAAAAGATTTTTCATGTTACCTCAATTAAAGTTGATGGATTCTTTTTACTTACAAGAAGATGTCACTTTCTCTTGCAAATCGGGAACCTGTTACAGCATAAAATGGACAATGCATCACTTGGGATTTTGTCTTGTAAAACTCACCTTACTGGAGAGAGAGAGAGAGAGACCTCTTCATAAAAGTAAAGAACTCTTTAACTCCAACTGATGTGAGATGAAAAACTTTTTGCACACCAATATAACCCCTAAATTGTATGCTTATGGACAGACCGTCGACAGCCACGCTTCAACAGACCACGCTAATGATGTGGCTCATATTTTACCAAGGTGAGTGAGTAATATCCTTTGGTATTTATTCCTATAAACTGTGGCCCACTTGAATGAACTCAACTAACAAGTATTGCGATTCCTTCAAGTCTAACAGATATAGAATGTGAAATCTTTTGTATATTAAAGCTAATTAAAAAAATTTCCTAAACCTTTTACCTACTTTGTAAAAGTTGAGGCTGAGACATCAAATAAACAGAGCTTATACAGCTAAAGACCATGCCCTGTTCTAAAATTATAGAAAGATTCATGTGATATAGGTGAAAACATTTTGAACCCATAATAAACTGAGCACTGATATCAAATCAACAGAAGCAAAAAGGATTTCATCTTCTATATTTATATAACTAGAATACAACAAAAACTTTCTTTAAAAAAAAAAAAAACTGAAGCACAATAGAAGATGATATCGTTTACCCGGATGACTGAGGAAAGATGAATTGAGTCGAGTAAGGTCCATGCTTCGCAGTACAGAAAATTTCAGCAGGGTTCCTTTGCAAATACGAGATAAACCCATTACTGGAGAGAAAGCTATTCAACCTTCATATGATGTGAAACAGCTCACATATCTCAGCCCCTTCGCGCTCTTCCTTATAGCCGCTTCAAGTACCCTAGTCCTCCTCGCTTCGTCTCTTCTGCAATGGCTTCTTGCCATTCGCGTCCTTCATCGTTCTGCGTCTCGTACGATTCAATCTCTGAGATGGTCGCCCATGGCTGTCCCTCTGGCAGCGATGGCGGCTCAGACGCTTGCGTTTGATCTGCAAATGAACATAAAAACGGTGTCGCTTTCGGCATGTTGAGAGCTGGGCCTGGGGCTTACATTTGGGCCGGGTTGATTCCATCTGGGCTAACTTAAATAAGGATAGATTAATTTTGTGTTCATTGGAGTTGGGCTTTGGGCTAGTTGAATTTCGAATGACTACGTCATATTTAATAATTAATAAAATGTGTTTTCTTTATTAAATCTAAAAAGCATACAAAATTGTACACGATACAACTACTCTGTTTATATGCCCAAATTAGTAAATTGGTATTCTATTATTTTAAAATATTTAAATTGATGCTTGTATCTTTTAAAAAATAATTTCGGTTTCAGTCTTTTTAATTTTTTTTATTTTAATTCTTAACCATTAATGCATAAATTCAGATTAATAATCATATAAATTAATAATTATATAAATCTGTTTTAAGATTCATAAATTTTCAAATAATTTATAGCTTTTTAAATGTAAAATTTTTTTAAAAAAATAATTAAATTATTTTTAGTTGGTAGAACTAAAAGCTACCCATGAAAATAAAGCTTAAAAATATCCCAACCGTGTATGTATATATATATATATATATGTATGTATGAATATGTGTGTATAAATATTGAATGATTAAAGTAAAGGTGAAATTGAGATAGGCCTAACAACACTCGGCCCTTTAAATTATTAAGTTAAAAGTTCAAATCCATATTAATTATGATTAGTTAATGAGTCAATGAATCATTACTGACTTTCACTTTCACAACCAAAACTAAAAGTTGTGCTCTACATATATATATATATATATATATATACATATATATATTCCAACCACGTGGTTAATTTATGATTTTTGTTCAAAACCCACCAACAAAATTTAATCATTTTCATTAGTCTCAAATACATGAATTGGTATAAATAATTATTTAAAAAGTTAAATAATCAATTAATTAATTGTAAGCATTTATTGTACTTTTAAATTAAGTTAAAAAAATTAGGATAACTCACGTGTCAATACATTATGATGTCATTTTGTCGTAAACGTTCTTTTCTTCGTACGTACATATATATATATATATATATATACACACGCACGCACACACAAACATAAATTGTATTAAATTAGTATAGTGGTTACGTGTAGGCAATTAGTAGTTAGCAAAATTTAGATTTGTAATGATGTTTGAAGGAAGTTAATGATTTGACCAAAATTATATTTTAAATTCGTAAAAAAAAAAGTTCAAGTAGTGGAATAGTTGAAATGGCAGACAAGATAGTGTTCAAACTCCCCTTAATTTCTTCGCAAACAAATCCTTCCTTGGTTTTGAACCAACCTTCCATCCCCATTTCCTCTTGTCCTTTTTGTTGCTTCTCCTATGTGACTTTCTCCATATACGACGCACACATACATACACGTATACATACATACACGTATACATACATATAAATGATGCATACATATAAATGATATAAACAATGGGTCTTCATATAATTTTTCATAATGCCCAACTCTTACCTATTATAGAGGTAACATTTATGTTGCCTTCTTGCTTTGCCTACTCATTTGATAATGATATGTAATGAATTCCAACACTCGTAGAACATTGAGATAATATGTAGGGTGCACCGTGTAAATAATTTTTAACTTTTTAAATATAAAAATAATTTTTAATTTTTAATTTTTAATTTTAATTTTTAATTACTTACAAGGTTACGTGCTACATAAACTTTAAAAATAAAAATAAAAATAATATGATAAGATTGTTACGTGATAAATTTTTTATTTTTTCCCTCAATACCTTTTTCGTTATCTGTATCTTTAAGAAAAAGTTAAGGTATAATTTTTATTCGTATAAGTAATATTCATATAATTTTTTGATATAATTATAAAATATCTTCTAAAATTATTTTTCTTATTTTTTTTTTTATGTTTTCTTTTTGGGGCATCGGGGAAATTTTTGAAAAATATAAATTTGGGATTGTAAAATTTAAATAATCCTTTTCTTTCCGGAAAAAAAAAAAAAAAAAAAAAAAAAAAAAAAAAAGAGTATTTTAGAATGTACCAAAAATACAATTGAACACAAAATGAGGATAACATTTTATTAGAATTTAGGACCACTTTTGAATGGAAAATCTGAAAATTTGTGCCCAACAAACAAGGTTATGCTTGGAAGTGTGAAGTAAGAGTAGTTTATGGTAGTTTCTAAGAATGACTAATTGTTGGACCACGATGACAGTTATGATCGCTAACCACACAAGAAGATGAGTTATGGATCCAACAGAAGGTGGTTGGTTGACTTTGTAGGGAAATAAAAATTGCATAGTCAAAAGAAGTGGCGACAAATACCCACTAAAATTGAAACTATATAATTTTGCTATGAAAGATGATAAGAAATATAAAACCAAACATCACAAAAATAAAGAAAAACACATTAAACTCCAAAGAGTCGAACTTAGGAAGTATCACAATTATTAATATATATATATAAATCTCTTAAGTTAATTAGGGTCCTGGGAGAGTTTGAAAAGACCAGAAAGTGTATGAAACACCAACTTGGCTAATTGATCTTTATAAGTATTTGTGTACCAATAAATATAAGTAATATGGATATTCTAATTGCTATTAAGGAAAGCATATATATGATCGATAAAGTTAGGTTAATAAATGTTGCGAGTGGGATATATCTGTAATAGTTGGCTAAGCTTAAAAGAATTAATCTTAATGATAAATTGTTTAATAAAAATATCATGCGCCAACTTGACACCTTCAAGAACACCAAAGGATCTTGACATACATAACATCCTTTTGATAGATGTTATACATGAAATCAGTCACCAATTTTCCATCCCCCCCCCCCCCCCCCCCAGATGCAGTATCCCTATAATTATCCCTAGTAGATCCATTATTGTTGAGCTTGGACTAGCATGTAGGCAGAATACATCAACCAGCCTAAGGGTATTGAGTGGTGCCCTCCACTTTACCAAAAGTGCTATGTCTCAAATAAGTCTCTTGAAAATTTGGAATAGTCTGAATAATCTCCTGGGAGGACTATCTCGAGCCAATACGGTTGTTATGGTTACCTGGTCATCTTTTGCCTCCGAAGGATTCATGTGGTGGTTGAAAAATTTGCCTTCCAAATAATACCATGGTAGTAGTTTTGTCGTACAGACTCCAATTAAGCCATTTATCAAAAGGAATATAAAAGAAACTGTTAGTAAAGTTACTATCAATTAAATTAGTATAAACTTATTTGTCTATCAGGTACTTTTAAATAACATATAAGACATTTTTCTCAGTAAATTAACATCTTACACATTGATAATTAGTAGTCATATGATTATGCTTCCTCCCAGTGTTAGTAAAAAGGTGGTTAGAAGTAAAATGCCTCATAAAGTACTTGACTCTTCTGACATAGGGAATGTCTTAAATTTTTTTCCATTTCTTATTATGAGTGGGCTATGAGATTTATTAAGAAAGGTTTAAGCCAATTTAATACTAACTATTAAATCAATAATGAATTATCGTACCAGATATCTTGATTAACCATCTCTATAGATTATGGTGAATCTCTCTTTAGATATTAGAGAAGTGGTTGTATTAACATATAATATTCAAGTAAACCTAATTTAACTTCCATAAAATATTTGTCGAAGTATCTAATACTGAGCTGAGAGCCTATCCATACAACAAGTTTATCTATTATAGGTCTTACCTCTAGGTAATGTTATAAAATGATTCATGGTCCACCGAGGAGTGCAATTTCATAGTTCACTTCTTTTATTAGTTTAACTAAATAAAAATCATTATCTAGATCAATTAATTTCAAAATATCAGATACTTGCCATAACTTTCTCAGTTTTTGTTCAAAGTACTGGCAATGGACTTCCTTTGTGAGTACTTCGATTGCAAGGGTTAGTTGTTAAAGTGTCAAAAATTGCAATTTTTTTTTTTCATTTACCGTAAGCTATATGCTCGGGCATATTTATGATCCGTAGTCATCTTCCTCATTATCAATTGTGTCTGGTAAATGAGGGATACTATCATGGGGGCTATTTGAATTTGTTTCCACATTGTTATTACCTTTTATAGACCGACAGAGAAATGTGGATTTCCAATCCATGCTTTAATTGGTTTAGATATCTTTAGCCTCAAGTTGGGAGGTTGAACATCAACGTCTACAATTCAACCATCAATGTTAGTCTAATAAGGAGATTCTTAGTTGCTAGGATCACATGCTAACATATATAGACTTACATGCATTTAATTTATAATTGCCATCATAATTAGAATTCAGATCTTCGAATTTTCTTTATTTATTTATTTTATCTTTGACTAAGATATTAATAATTTTTAATTAAATTTTTAATATATGACAACCAAACATCACTGATCTAATAATTTTTTAAATCTAAATGATCAATTTTTAAGAATTTAAATATAAATAGTTAATAGTATTTATCTTGAACTCTTATATAAAATTTAACAATTATATAAATTTTTAATGTGGAATCAAAGTATTATAAAATTAGTATTAATTGATAAAAACATTGTCATTTCTAATTAAATTATTTCTTGGTCTTGCTAAAAAACTAAGTGAGTAATATATATATATATATATATATATATATAAATGTTCTTGCTTCTAGGTCGACACTTATAAATCAACTCACTTATCCTATAATTATAGATTTCATTTTGAAAAATACAATTAATCCATAAAAGGGACTTGAATTTTCTCTGTAAAAGAGAGTAAGTTCTGTAAATTCATGGCTGGCTTTTCCTGAAAATCTGGTCCATCCATTAGAAAATTCTGCAAAATCTTTTTATACCATCATTAAAATATAAAGCGTTTCAAGTACATAATTAGCAAATTGGAATTAAAATTCAAAGAACCAGCCAAATCTGACATATTTAAAAAGATTTTGAAGACTGTGCGGTATTTTAAAAAACAGAGTAAGGTTAAAAATAGCCTGAAAACAGGGGATCTCCAAATTCAGTATCACATTCTTGTTTTTCTTTTATTTATAAATCTTATAAATACAATCGATGCACTGTAATTTTTGTTTTTATGTAGTTTTTAAATAAATTTAAAGCTCAGTACTCACAGTTATAAATTCTGTCAAATCATTTATATTTCTAAAGTACTTTGTAATTGATAGATGTTGGTTGATCTTGCTGTATATAATGGTTGGCTCTGTTTACTGACCCACCATTTTTGATGGATGAGCTTCTCTGGGTTTACTAAATTTTACCTTTTACACAAAAAGTGAAAAAATTTGGGAATTATCCAAATTACCCATTGATTTTTTAACCTTTTTTTTTTTTTTATTTTTCTTATTAAACAGTGAAGTTTTGGCCTGGTAATTTTTCTGTCTGAGATTCTATATTTTTCTTTAATATCTTGAAGAATTCAACAAATGGGTGGTGGATTCAAAGTTGAAAGACAAAAACAATAATATTTGTTTTTTTAAGTGGGTCAGTTTTGACTGAAATTCAATTGATAAATATAGAAAGAAATAAAGAAGGAAAAGAAAGGTGGTAGGGGACCATTCCTCCACACAATTATTCTATTATATTATATATAAATTATGATTACTCCCAGTCTAATCTTCCTCTAGGATAACCCTCTTACATTTTCTCTGAGTTTCTTCTGTCCCACTTTCCTCTTCTCTTCTCCTTTCCTACCTTCCTAATCCTCTCTGCACACTCTTCCCCTGTTTCCAGTCCATCACTTCTCTTTACTACTTACTTTCCTTTTCTGTTTCTTCTCTCTATGTTTTGCAACTTTACTCATCAATCACTTGTCATTTCTCTCTGCACTTTCTTTTTCTTTGACTCCAGAATCTGATATGAAAATATCCCACTTGAACCAATATGTTTGCCATTGTTTAATCCTCATTGCTTTTTCTGGGGTTTGTCTTTTAATGCCCAAAAAGTATTATTGCATTGTCAACTAAAATCAATTCCTATAAAACCAATACCCTTTTCCATTATCTTTATTACCCACTTCTCAGATTCTCAATTTGAACCTTTTTTTCTTCTTCTTCTTCTTCTTCTTCTTCTTATTCAAGAAAAGCTTTCTCTTTTTCTTCTGTTTTCTTTTTTTGTTTTCCATGAAAGAATCCCAAATGAGTATACCTCACTTGTTTAGGTGTCCCATAAGTCTAGACCTGTTGACAGATCCAGTAACCCTCTGTACAGGCCAAACCTATGAAAGACAAAGCATAGAGAAATGGCTAGCAGCAGGTAATCTAACCTGCCCTGTAACAATGCAGAAACTCCAGGATCCCACCATTGTTCCTAATCACACTCTTCGCCATCTCATTCATCAATGGCTTCAAATGGGTTCTCATTTCCAGCCTGATTACTTTTCAAAAATCGATTCTTTAGCTTCAATCAAACACACCCTTCAATCCCCTCAATCCACAATCAACAACAAGCTATCAGCCGTTGAACAACTCCAACTTCTGCTTCAAGAATCGTCATCATCGTCATCATCACCTACACCCATAACTTCATGTTTGATCCAATTAGAATTCTTGCCTTTAATCCTGGAATTGCTTTTCGGAAAAGTAGAAATCAGACCCAGTTGGGAATATATAACGTTTGTAGAACACATTGGTTGTTGTGTCCTAACTTTGCTGCCTCTTGGTGATCTGCAAGTTCTAAATATGCTTCAAGAAGAATCCAAAATGGAAGCTTTCCTAGTTTTATTGGAGCAAGGAAGTAGCATCATCAAGAAGAATCTCTGCAACATTGTGGAGATCACATCATCATCTACATTAACCAAAGAGCTCTGTGAAAAACTGGGAAAAAACCAGAGATTACTTCAAGATATTGTTTTTCTTGTTTACCACAATTCTGAAGAAGCCAATTATGGGATCAAAGCCATTTCAGCATTGTGTTGTTTGGATTCAAATCATGAAAATTTAGTCAAATTTGGAGCAATCAACGGGCTGATCACATACATTTTGAATGCTGACAAGCAAGAAACAAACTTGGCAGCAATTGCAGTGGGAAGAATAGAGCAACTTTTGAGACTTGAAAGCTCAAAAAGCGCATTAATGGAGAACCCAGAAGGGATAAATGGTGTTGTGAAGATGGTTTTTAGGGTTTCTGATCACGAAGGAAGTGGGAGTGCAATAAACTCATTGATGATGATATGTGAAGAGTCGTTGCAGGCAAGAGAGAAGGCAATTAAAGGTGGAGTTTTGACTCAATTGCTGTTGCTGATTCAGAGCCAATGTAGCAGTAGGACCAAAACCAAGGCAAGGATGTTGTTGAAACTGCTAAGATCAAATTCATAGCTTAATAACATGTATGTCAAGTGTGTGAGTGGGGTCTGATTATATATATACTATACATATATATATATATATTATATGAGGTGGGTTGGATTCTATTCAATCTTATGTGACGTGGGTAGCTGTATAGTAAGTGTTCATTTAATTTATATGTATTTCCAGAAGAAGAAAGTGTCAATCTTTATGTTTCTGTTCAATTGAAAATTCATCTTGAAAAATGCCCTCTACTGAGTGGGTTTAAGAAGCTTTTGTGAGTTAGAATTTTCGAAGGTTATATATTCTCAAATTATTTGGCGAGGGTTATCTTCTTAGAATTGAATCGATCTCGAAACTTCTATGAGTTGAGTAGTTGTAATTATTGTTTTAAGACATGATTGAAAATCTCTGAATATATATTAAGTTTTTCTTATATCGACACATATAAATGATCGTGAAATGAAATTTAGTTTAATTGAGAGAATAATTTTAAAATAAATTCAAATTTAACAGTTAAATCGAATGATTTTAATTTATTTATTATTAAAAAATTGTGTTAGTCAAATGTGATTATAACATGTTTGTAATGAAATTATTGTAGCAATAATAATCTTCGTATGTCTAATTTGACTGTTAAAATTTCAGAGAATTGTGATTGTAGCTTATAATTATAATTCGTGATATTTATGTAATCATGGATTACAATAAAACATCTCTTAGAATCTAATGTTTTAATTATATCTTATAGCTTTTGTTTATAAACAAAATAATTTACTTATTCTATTATTATATATAAAAATAATATACTTTGTTTATTTTGTGTCTTGTATTTAAAATTTTATTATTTTTAAAAGAAAAAAATTAATTTTTAAACTTTTTTTAAATATTTTTTACCTTAGAAATTGTTAATAAATATAATCTAAGAGGTAAAAATTTTATATAATATTGATAACTTTAGTTATTTTATTAGCTAGAGAAATAAAATAAAATTCAAATTAAGTATAATGCTTAATGAAAATTCTATTTTAACAAATATATATTTTATTACAATCTTGTAACAATATAAATTGATTAAATTAATTCCCAATTTCCCATAATTATTCTATTAATCTAATAAAGTAAGCAAAGACAAAAAATTAATCAGTTTCTGCACTTACCCTATACAATTTCTACACATTATAGGCTTTATATATATATATATATATATAAACACACACAATATTTGAGAATAAAATAAAATCCCAAATATGATTAAATGGCAAAATACAGCATGCCCCACACTGAAAGAGGCAGAGCTATACCTAACTTCACTGATTTAATCCCACACAGCAGGCCTGCACATGCTTTGCCTTCACTCTTTTCAATATATTTCTCTGAATAAAACCATTACTACACCCACCATCTTCCTCCAATCCCCTCACTTACCTTCAATTTCATGAGATTTATTGTATACTAAAGTAAAGGGTATATGGGTTTAGTTTTTGAAAACTAAAATGGGTTAATCATACTTTTTTTTTTTTTTTTATATCCGTTATAATTACTCAAATTAAATGAATATAATCATCGTAAGATGTTGTTTTTATTTAAATATGATATAATTTTTGTAAAATTCAATTTGACTATCATAAATTAAAATTTTAATCACTTAGTATATATAAAAAGTAATAATAATTTTGATATTTAACATATAATTCAATCCATAGCGATAAATTAATATTTTTATTATTATTTTATAAATTTAAAAATTTAAATCAAACTCAATGTTAATAATTCAAGAAAATATAAAGTTTTTTTTTTTTTTTTTTTTTTTTTAACTTTTGGTAGGGTTTTACAATTTGGGTTTCGGTCCAATCCCCATTATCCAAAATCCAGGGATGGGACTGGGGATTTGAAGGGATATTTAAATTCCAATCTTTTCATTGGCATTTTAGGGGTTGTTTGGATCTTGTTTGGTTAGGGCTCTGGGAGATTACATATATATATATATAGGTACCTCTACCTTCCCAACAAACTCCCCCTCCCCCTCCAACAAAAAAGTACCATCCCAATTCTAGAACCCTAATAAACATAAGTGGGTTTTAAAAATATTATTAAGATAATTGTTCATCATAAAAATATTTTAATTTTATGAAAAATACTATCACTCTAAAAAAATCATCCTTCAGAAAAAAAAAACCCATAAAAAAGGAGGATACCAATATCAAAACCCTAATAATGGCTTCTTGCCTTTTTACAATAAAGGTTGCAGACCAACAGGAAAATCGTCTGTAATGGTCTACATTTCCGGCTATTCCATAAACCAAGCACCATATTCATTATCAGAAATTTTCTTTCTATTTTCTTTGAAGAATGATAATTTTACCATCACCATTTTTTTTATTCTGATTTTTTTTTTTTTTTGGGGAGAAATCATCTGCGTTATAAGAAAAAATTGTTACGAGAGAACTTTAAGATGAATGAACTCAAAACCATCGTTACTTTATCAAGAGTCAAACATGAGGGGCTTACAATTTCAAGTATCAACGTAAGTCAACAAAATAAAGTTAGCCACTGATAACATGATAGCCCACAGAAAAACTTCTCTTCCAGAAATTGTCATTAGGACGGATAGAAATTAGCTTCATATATGAGCTTCCGGGAACGATTATGAAAGCATTTCGAAGTCTGCATCTTATAAAAAATTTCTAATTCTTACGTCAATAAAATTTGAAAAAATCTTTTTGTTTATCTACGTACAGAATTAGATAAATAGATAGATAGATAGATAGATAGAAAGAGAGAGCTTATTTAGAACAGAATACAAATGAGATAACATCTTCAAAGTTCAGCCCAAACTCTAGTTACATGACTAAATATGCATTCAAAAAGTTTCTTTTATGCATTCTTGAAATTAGCAATCAATAGTTATCTTCAAAATTAGCATATATCATTCTTGGAATCTGATCATCACAATGGAAGTTCTCGAGTCAAGCAAAACATTGTTCCTATGCAATTCAAAGAGACAATAATATTATGCATGCGATAAGAATGCTGAGTAAATGGTCAAAACTCAGATGAGACGTAAATAGATACTCATGACAACCAAATTTACATCAGAAACGTATATATTATAACAACTATTGTTTTATATGTATGTACGTATATGTATCTACAAATCCCTATCCCACATATCGCTCATACAATAAGAAGATAATACAAACAAAAGAGGGAAAACAATGAAGAAAGTGTCAGCCATGTGCATATGTCATTTTCAATGCCATATTTGTTGTAGTAAATCTTGACTTATCAAAGCGGCAAACAGTCTTAGAAATTTGGCACTAGAAAATGCTAAGAGGCTGGCACTAGTATTTCAAGGTAAGAATCTATATACAACAGAAATTACTAAGAAAGAGTGATGAAGTGCTGCAAAGAACTAACCAAACTCGGCGGCCAGTGCTTCATTTCTTTCACATACGAGACGTCTACATATCGAGGATCAAGTAAGGTAGCAATTGTGAACTGATTTTCTGCTAGCAGTGGAGCATGCTTGTCCACATATAAGGCTGCCGCAAGAGCTGCGTGTATCTCTGCAGAAAAGCATATGACAATTGTTGACAAAGGAATATTGAAGCGTTTATATTCCTTCATAGATAGAATCCAAAGGCTTTGAATTTACCTGGATATCCCTTTAAAGCTATAGAAACATCTTCCATCTCAGCAATGGCTTCTTCTCTGTCTCCAACCTCATATAGAGCCAATGCTCGCCCCACTCTTGCATACTCCGAGAATGCAAATTCTTTGTAATTTTGAACCACCTATAAAGAATAAAAATGACATTGATAATTTTGGATATTTATTCATAAGGAATTTAATTTAAGAGATTGCACCAAGTATCCGAAGCATCATTCATTCCTATGTCTATTTTCTGGTTTATTTGGAAAAAGAAAAGAATACGAGAGTTTTCGAGGGCACTTGCTCTCCCTTTAACAATATTACAAATTACTGATTCTGCACCCTAAATATTTTGTTTATAAGGCATCCTATTCTTGATGTGGATTTGGGAAATCTGGTAGATATTCTGTTTCTAATCTTTTGTAAATCTTTTGTTTTTGGTTGGTACCACCTTGGAGCTTGAGAAACACAATAAAATAATTCAAAAAATTGATACACACTCAGACACTAAGCTTGTTCCATTTTTCCATCAGCAATCACCTGGCAGAAAAGCCACTCATTTTGGAAATACTGGGGTCTGATATGTGTTGGATATTAAAGTAACCTGGACACAGAAACTTACATGAGGTTATTGAAAATAGTTTCATTGCTTGAGGATGTTAATGGGGTTTAAGAATCATAAACACCATTTGTGCTTAGATAGAGAGGTACAAGGGAAGGGGCAAAAATTGGATTAGTCTCTCTAGTCTCTACTAAAATGGTAAAGCCTATATCATACTATCCCATTCAGATTGATCCTAATTCCTGACTTCCTAACTATACAAATCAGTTATGCTGTATCTTTACTCCCTGCATAGGAAGATTTATTAAATGGAAACTAAATAAACAAGCAAATCCACCATGGGTATAGGCATCTAAGTGATTTTGAGTATGCTTGAATGGCTTCTCCCATAAAATTGTCAGGACCACAGCTGATGCATAAGGCAGGGATAGGCAAGTTTGTTAATTTCCAGTTATGCTCTTAATTGTGTTAATCTTTCTTTTAGTTAGTAAAGATGTTGGCCAGCTGGCTATTTACTTAATTTGCATGTAATTTTCCTTTCACTAATTATTTTATGCCAAGTAAGCAAACTGTTAGATGCCCTGATGATTGAATACATGGTGCCTAAAATCTAATTTAAGGTTATGAAAAATCATTAATGGAAAACACCTGTGAAACTTTGCTAAGACTATCAAACTTTCTTCTTAAAACTTTTTTCTCTTCCTCTATTAAACTTGGAAATCTCTTTATAAACTATAATGCATTCCCTATTCTTCTTCTTCTGCTTCTTCTTCTTCTTCTTCTTCTATTCTTTTGAAGCAGGTTTCAGCTCCAAGGAAGTCGACAAATTGGTTTAGAGCCCTCCAGTTCCAAAGAGACACCCTCTTCCATTGTGGCAATGGCGAAGAACAAAGGTAAAGCCACCATGCTCAACCATCAATATAGCAGCTTGGTGATTTGGGTAACGAACTTTCATCAGAAACCCA